CACGGATTAAATTTTGTATTTACTTCTTAATAAAGAAGTTTATCCATTTTATAAAATACAAATGTTTGATGACTTTAGATTTTATGCGCCATACTAAGCCAAATCCGTTATAACGATCGTGTATCGGTATATGCAGTGGAATGGAATTTTCCGCTACCATCTAAAAATCTATAATCGTTATCGTTATCGGTATTACTACATGTATTATACATGTACATGTATTTCGAAATGGACAATAGGTTTCCTTTCTTGTTAAATCATTCATCAATTCAAATTCCCACATAGGACAAAATCCCGATATTTAATCAAATTATTCTAAAATTGTTGGTGGACAAGTGTAAAGCCAAAGGACTAGAATTTGATTATGTTTTTTATAATCGCGGTGGACGAGGAAATATTACCTAGTGAAACCATCATAACAATAAATCAGCAGCATAAAAAATTCGAAATTTAATTACCTTGTGACATATAGCTGTGTTTGAAATTTCACTTTTTATTTTCAGATTATATTCGTAATAATAATTTTATATACAAATCAATAATACATGTAGTTATATGTGCGTATGGAGTGAATCATTAGAAGCAGAAACAGACATTCTATATTAAATAAAAACCAGTAAAGAACAAGGGCGACTGGATGATGAGGTAATAAGCAGTTTTGTACTGCAAGCGAAATATTAAAAAAGCTCAACCTGAATTTGATGATTTCGTTGTTTGGTTTGCTTAAATAGATTGCATATTTAGTGAAATAGAACATGTCGCTGAAGGAGATTTTGGTAGTGTATTAACAAAAAAATAAATAGACTATTCAACTGAAGTGATGCAACTTCTGATATTATTCAAGGAGTAAGTAAATAATGACCATGAATTCATTTGTTTTTTGCCTTTGTGGTTTTTTAATATACTATATATGCAAATAAAACTATTCTCAGTCATGGAAGCTAAACATTTGAAATTTCCAGAATAAAAATATATTCTGGTCCTTTGCAATCAAAAATAAATGTCGATATCGATATGGCTAAATTAACTTACCGTTACCAAATCATTATATAATTTAACTACCACTATAGGATTAGTAATTATGAAGTATTATTTGGCATAATTCATACGGTCCTATAGAAATGGTCAACAGCAGTTTTATAATAGTTTTCATATGCGATTTACGAAAGTGCAGTAGACAAAAGTAAATAATTATTAAGCGGTGGGTAGGTAAATTTTCTTGAATTCTGAATCCTTTTTTATATTCACAGTTTTTTGAGAGGGTGTTTTGAAATGTGCTATATACGTATATTATCGTTATAGGGATAATCAAAAAGCCATAAAAATAATTGATTTTTGTAATAACTTTATATCTCATGAATATATTTTTAGAAACAAAAAAAAGGGTACATGTTAATAAAATAAAAGTGCTATTATATTAATGTCAACTCCTATGACAAATAAAAAAATTCTACAAATCGAAATAGATTTTCTATAAAGGTGTTCTACAGACTCATAATAATACGTGTACATAGATATTTTTCAAGAAAACAAAACTTGATCTATATCGTAACCATTTTTTGTGAATTCTGAATCTTATTGATAGCATTCAGCTAGTCCTACTTCAGCAGATTTTGAAATACCTCGTATTTGTATTTGTTTACTGTTTCAGTTCATAAACTTAAGCATTTTACAAGATAATTGTAAGCTGAAGTATGTCCCGCTAATTTTTGGACTCTGTGAAGGATATGTTCATGTTTTGTAATATCTCGCATACAAGATCATAAGTTGAATTAACAGACGTAGAATCAATATCAAATTCTTTATTCTCTGCTGGTTTCAAATACCACTCATATGCTTTTTTCTCGTTTTTTTGAATTCCTATACCATATTGATAACAGTTACCGAGATTATATTGTGCGTAGGTATTTCCACTATTTGCCGATTTCAAATACCATTCGAATGCTTTTTGCTCATCTTTTTGAGTTCCTATACCATATTGATAAAACCAACCAATAATAAATTGTCCATCAGCATTTCCACCCTCTGCTGCTTTCAAAAACCACTCAAATGCCTTTTTTTCATCTTTTTCTGTTTCAATACCATTTTGATAACAGTTACCGAGATTATATTGTCCGTAAGCATTTCCACTCTCTGCTGATTTCAAATACCACTCAAATGCTTTTTTCTCGTCTTTTTGAGTTCCCATACCATATTGATAACACCACCCAATATTAAATTGTCCATCATCGTTTCCACCCTCCGCTGATTTCAAATACCACTCAAATGCCTTTTCTACATTTCTTTGTGTTCCTATACCATTATGATAACAATAACCAAGATTGAATTGTCCGTAAGCTTTTCCACTCTCTGCCGATTTCAAAAACCACTCAAATGCTTTTTTCCCGTCTTTTAGAGTTCCTATACCATTTTGATAACAGTTGCCGAGATTATATTGTCCGTAAGCATTTCCACTCTCTGCTGATTTCAAATACCACTTAAATGCTTTTTTCTCGTCTTTTTCAGTTCCTATACCAAATTGATAACAATAACCAATATTACATTCTCCTCGTGCATTTCCACCCTCTGCTGCTTTTAAATACCACTTAAATGCTTTTTCCTCGTCTTTTAGAGTTCCTATACCATTTTGATAACAATAACCAAGATTGAATTGTCCTCCCGCATTTCCATTTTCTGCTGATTTAAAATACAACACAAATGCTTTTTCTTCATCTTTCTCTGTTTCAATCCCATTTTGATAAAAGTTACCGAGATTATATTGTCCGTAAGCATTTCCACTCTCTGCTGATTTCAAATACCACTCAAATGCTTTTTTCGCGTCTTTTTGAGTTCCTATACCATATTGATAACACCACCCAATAATAAATTGTCCATCATCGTTTCCACCCTCCGCTGATTCCAAATACCACTCGAATGCTTTTTTCTCGTCTTTTTCAGTTCCTCTACCATTTTGATAACACCAACCAAGAATAAACTGTCCATCAGCATTTCCACCCTCTGCTGATTTCAAATACCACTCGAATGCTTTTTTCTCGTCTTTTTGAGTTCCTACACCGTTTCGATAACAATCTCCGAGATTGTATTGTCCGCAAGCATTTCCACTCTCTGCTGACTTCAAATACAACTCAAATGCTTTTGTCTCGTCTTTTTGAACTCCTAACCCATTTTGATAACAATTGCCGCGATAAAGATCAATTGGAATCGATTTCAATCTACTGCAAACCTCCTGGATTAAAGGCCGATCTTTTGGCTCAGGTTTCCAACTATCCTTATATAATTCTACGTATTCAAGAGGCGTATAGATAATTGGATCTTCACGTAGTCCATTAATAATGTTATTCATAAGGGCTATTTGATTAAGGCCTTCAAAAGGGATACGGCAGCTCGATATTTCCCATAATAAAACTCCTAAACTGTAAATATCTGATCTCTTATCTCTCTTATATCTGGCATCTGTAAACATTTTAGGCTCAAAATAAGGTATCGTACCAAAAATTCCCAAAGTGCTGGAGGTTGGGCTATTAATATCCTTAGAAAGACCAAAATCTGCAATTTTTATTTGACCATCATGTAATAAAATATTTTTGGAATGCTTTTTTTTTACATAATAATAGAAAGATGAGAAAATTATTAATTTGTTAAATTGTTAATTGCCACTGAATAAACTTTATAAATATTACCAAATCTCGATGAATTATATTGCACGAGTGAAGATAATGAATACCACCAGCCATTTGCTCTGCTAGTGAGATCTTTATAGCCCAGTCTAAAGTATCGCGTTTCTCTTTCAAAAATTCAGATAGCGTTCCGTTATTTGCAAATTGCATTACTAGAAAATAGGAGTTTCTGTCTTGAAACAGAAAATTAAATTAATAAATTTCATCAAATAAATTTACTCTATAATGAATTATTTCACATACTCTCAGTAATTCCGTATAATGGAATGATACTCTCATGTTGTTCCAAATTACTATGTATTTTTAACTTTAAATACAAAAGTACGTAAGTGAATACTAGATTTAACTCGTTAAAAAATTCAATACTGCGTTAATAATTACCTCTTTTATAAATGCAAATAAAATATCTTTTTCTTTTTCTTTAATATGGCATTTTCTGATCTTTTTGAGTACAATTTTTTCGGCGATTGAATTGCATTCAGCTAAATAAACTTTTCCGAATCCTCCTTCACCAATAAGTTTTCCCTTAGAGATTTCTTCGTATGGTATTTTTTGAATTGTTCCATCAAAAATCGCATCGTCAAACCATTCTTGTGAGGACGTCATTTCGAAACTTCAATAAATAATAGATCATATGACAATATAATTTTCTTCAGAACTTTACAAAAAACAGATACGTACGTAATGTAAAACACTGATATTGTTCACGTTAACGTTAACTAGCATACATTAACATGTACAAACCCATGGTGTTACAGCTACCGTTACGATAAAACGTATTACATGTACCGGTACGCACACAATGTATTACGTACATGTAGTATGGATACATGTAGTTAGTGCTACAAGTACATGTACACTCGGTGGTAGTAGTGCAAACATTTACCAGGGTAGTCACGACCTATGGCACTTACGTAGACCCTAGCCACGGCGAAAAAAGTGTCAGATCACGTGATGCCGATCCAAGCCATAGAAATATCCGATTCATATTAAAGATCAAGTATTAGGGTTTGGGTTAGAGTTCGAGTAAAGACTATACATAAAATTTCCTTCCCGACATTTTTTAATAGTGCTTCGAGATAGATATCTGTTTCCCGTAATTTTTCGTATTTTTTATTTTCTTGTTTCGGATTTGTTTTGCCGGAACTGATATTTTCACGCATGCTTATTGGTCGTATTGGATCGGTGTCACATGATCTAACACTTTTTTTCGCCATGGCTAAGGTACTAGCACCTGGAATGTGTGCCAGGTTGGTGCCGCAGCTGTCAACTATCTGACTGATTGTATATATACATATATATACATAAATAATACTACCGCTTTTTTTTTTAGGTTCTTGGTTAGTTGAATTTTATTTCCTTTGCCTTTACGTATGGAAGGTAACAATGCACAAGGCATGGACATTGCTATCCCACAGGTTTGTTGAACCAACTTTTTATATAAATGTTTCATAACGATAATAAAATTAATAAAACATTAAGTTTTAGGTCTTCGCTTGGAATTCCTTACCCGAACTATTGAAACCAGTTCTTCCTCAGCGTTATACATATTTAATCAAACATTTTAATGAGCTATTACCATACCGAACACAGGAGAATTTTGAGGTTCCGAATTTCGAGTTGGACGCGTTTGTAAATATCGGTAACAAAGAAGATACGTAAGGCATTTCAATCCTGGTCAAAAACAACCATGCCAAAAACAAAAAGTTTCGAAATCAAAGGAAATCGTGTGCTTTTTCGAGAGAAACGTCACTGTATTCATAGTGATGAAGTAAAGAAAAAAACAAGGCAATCGTGAAACAAAACGTCCGCAATCATCCCAAGCACGAAATATATACTGTACTGCAACTATTCATTTACGATTAAAGTGTTGGCGAATTTTTTAAAAATATTAAATAATATATTAAAAATTAACTAAATTATAAAAATACTAATTCCAGAAATAATTCAAAACATAATTGAAAAATTTTAAAATTTTTTAAAAAATAACAAGAATCTTTATTACTAAATCAAAAATTTATTGAATTAATTGATAAATTTCAAAATTTAAATATAAGATAAAAATAATAATTTAGAAAATATTTTTTTTAAAAAACCAAGTTATTTTTTCTGAAAATATTCAAATTATTCAAACATTTTTAGTTAAAAATGTTCAAGTTACAAAATTTTATTTAAATATAAAAAAATATACAATCATTAATATATATATAAAATTTTTAATTTTTACTATGTTTTATTAAGAAAATTATATATATAATTTCATAATTTTGTTGGTTACTACGTATATATAAAAATTTGAAATTTCAAAAATAATATTTGGAATTATTTCAAAATAATTCTATATAATTAAATAAAATATAATACAAAACTGATTGCTATTATTTTTGCTGAAAATAATAATTATAAGAATAATCAAAATTGTTTGCCAAACCTAGTTTTAGCAAATTTATTATTAAAATTTTAGCAAAAAGCAAGTTTTAACCAAATTTTTAATATATTTTAATATTAATACTATATATAGAGTTTGGTAATACAGAGAAACCTAAGTGAATCCCCTTGGGGTCATATTAAAAAAACAATGTACATTTAGAGAGGGTGTGCATATATAGAGAATAAATAATTAGAGATCTTATAAGTTTGGAACTAAGCAATAACGTGCATTTAGGGAGATCTCTGTATATAAAATAAAATTCCAAATATTATATAATAGTAAGTTATAAGAGTAATTTTATATTGTGCTCATAAGTAAGATTATTTAGATACACTGATTCCTATCGTATAAAAGAGTGCTAATCAAATTTCACTAATCACTCTTGTTTTTTGAGATGCAATTTTTTTTACGACTAAATCTCACTCTTGCTTCTATTCTGTAATTCAAAACAAATTCTGTGATTCTCATCGCAAGCCATATAATTCCAACTAAACCAACCAAAATAATCAAAAAAGCAAAAACCCAAATATCCACATTATTTCCTCTAATCCATCCCATTCTTCGATCCGGCGTAACCCATTCTTGGACAGTTGGTATCCTACTACCAGAATTTGGATCCAATTTTGCATGATCCATCACGTATTCTATCAAATCGGCGGCACGATACTTGCGATTCCCATTCATCCTCGCCAAAGTCTGCATTCTTAAAAGATTCAATTTAATTTTGTCGTCTGTCATTAACATTCGCATTTTAGAAAGCATGTCATTGACAGATAAAGAAAGTTTCGATACTGCTAGAGCACATCCTTGTAGCATGAGTTTCTCGGCGTTTCCCCATTGATCAATGTACAGAGGTAGCACAAGCATCGGAACAGCATGGTAGAGAGATTCTTGAACACTTTGGATGCCACCATGTGTGAGATATAATTTTACGTTCGTGTGGTTGAGAATCGCGAATTGCGGCGCCCAATTTTGCAGAAGAATATGAGGATGTTTGCTCGCGACTATCTGAGCAGTGTCGATAACTGTTCCGTCGTTGAGTGTAATGTTTCCAGGAATGCCCTTCAAATGTGATGCAGGAATTGACCAAATTGCACCGTCAAGAAGTTTTGTGTTTATTGCTTCGAGGATAGTTTGCATAATTTTTTTATAGTTTTCTGTAATTGTCCAGAAGCGGCCACCGAATGCAATGTACAGCGTTTTTGGATGCGAATCTAGAAATTCCTTTGGTTCCTTGGTTAGTGGTTCATAATATTCGTAATAAATTGGTCCAATTTCCTAAGAAAAAATAATAATATAATGAAAATGAATTCTTTATCAATTGTGCATAATATTAACATTACCTGAACGAGTGGAGATAATTTTTCTGGAATCTATTTTTTTTTGAAATATTAAATCAAATTTAAAATATTGAATCGACAATCAGATATAAGAATGATCTTTTTAAAATTTCACCTCAAATCCAAAAAAAGAATTAGCTAAGTAAAGGGAATCCTTAATTCGCTCCATAGGACTCCAGACCCATTCGATCCCATGAGCAGAGCGATGCGAGTTAAAATAAAACATTGATTCATACTGAAGTAACTTCAATATCGGATGTAGAATAACAGCACATTTGAAACGATCCCAAAACGATAAATTCTCGAGCGATACATGACATCCCGAAATATAGTCTGTTTTATAGATAGGATCTGATTTGTAAGGTGCGCTCACAGCTATAAAAGATAAAAAATAGTTTAGCCAAATCAAACGAGCATAATAAGGCGTCCTTTATTTGCTCTTCTAATTCGTTAAATACCTGCACCCAATTCATAGTGCTCCAATACAATGGGCAATCCCAAAACCCAAGCAACATCCGCACAAACTTCCGCCATCCATTCCATTTCACATATCAATACATCTGCTCGTCTTTCGACTGCTGCATTTAGTAATATAGGAAAAGCATACGGATAGTGGCCTTCAGTCTTTCGATAGATTTTGCGCAAGTGTCGAAAATTAACGTATTCATTGAGAAATAGATCTTGTGCGATTTTTGTGACTTCTTTCCATATTGGCTCGATTGTGATGAGCTCGATCTCGGGGTACTCACGATCGATTATTTTATTTGCATTTGGAGAAACTATTGTAAACTGATTTGAAGGAATTATATGAATTTTAGTATATTAAATTTTTTGTAGTAATTGTCTTGCCTTATGTCCACGATTAACTAATATTTGCCCTATTTCCAAAATGGGTTTAACGTGACTTCTCCCTGTTTTATGGAATTTATTAATAACAAAAAGAATTTGAATTCAAATAATAATTATTATTATTTACCTCCAACCATCGATAAAAACATAACGTGTTTTGACGTAGTATGATTACGGATTTTCACCTCATCATACTCTAGACGTACAAGAGGAGGTAGAGAGGAAGAATGAACAATTACAGGCTCGAAAAAAATGTTAAAAATATGAAAAAGAATTAACAAAGACCAGATCGGTCTTTGGTTTCCTGAAAAGTTGGCGAGTATCTCAAAGTCGTGACAAATACGTAATCTTGTTAGACTTAGTTTTATCATTATCATCCTGCAATCGTTTTCTTATATGTTATATCTCTGGCTATTTAAATACATCATGGGATTCAATTTATTGAAACGTGAGAATAAGTCAAACAAACTACTGTTACCGTTACGTGATCTTATGATTTATTAAAAATGGGAAGGATTTTCCTATAAACGGTAGTTTTTGGGAGATCAAGTTTTAGACGATAATTATTGTTGCCTGTGCCGATATCTACGGGTAAGTGTATGTTAAGATGTTTTCTTTGTTTAATCTTATTTTGGTTTTCAATTATAGCTATCGTTGTCGATCTTCTAAACGTTGCCTTTTCTGGATCAAGGTCCTAACCGTCAGTTAATTCGATCAATTACTACGAGGGAATTTTACAAGTCATATTTACTTGGAGAACAACAATTCTATCCTTTTATTGAGGTCCGTAGAACTTTCTTATATACAGTAAAACCTCTCTAAATGCACCCTCTCTAAGTGCACACCCTCCCTAAATGCACACCATGGCTCAGTCCCAATACCAGGACTTAGAGTTAAATACACACCCTCTATATTCTGCACGTGCAAGTGATTTTGAGTTCCGAATATATTGAAATAATCTCCGTAAATGCACACACGTGATAATAATATCATTGTAACCAATCAGAGATCAATATTATGAAGTGAAATTCTTACGCGCGTACAATAATCAAGAGTATTGTGATTTAAAAATTCTCTGCATTGTTGGTGCGTGATATTTTTCGATTACTATACATATTTTTTTTGCTTTAAAGATAAAATTGGACAAATCGACACTTTGAAATCAACATTTTGCAGTAAACACATTATACATGTATTGTACCGGTACTGTTACCGAAGTAACATTAAATCCTTTAATCCCGTAATTTGACCCTTAATTTCCACATGAATATTATCGTTATCCCATAATCTACACGATACTCCATACGTAATTAGTCTCTAGTATGGTGTAGGAACTCTTAAATCGAGAATATGTTTCAATTTCAAATTGCTATTACTCAACGTAGAGGCAAAATTTTCAAAATTTGACCGGTAACTTTGTAGAACTTGTTATAAAGAACAAAGTTACCGGTCAGATTTGCCTCTGTTGAGTAGTAGCATTTTGAAATTGAAACATATTGCATTGAAAACCAAATTTAGAAATGTTTGTTATCGTTATGAATGGACATTACCTTTTTTTTCTTGTATTTTGAATATCCCGTCGTTCTTCAATAATTAATGATAGCGATAGTGATTACCGAAAGGATAATAATTATCGCAAATCATAGACAATTGGAAAACATCGAAAGATTGTTAACAGCACAACTAATAATGATAACGATAAATAAAAAAATCTTGTAATAATATCGATATCTGTAAATTGCATGTGAATAAATATCGTTTAATTAGAAACTAAACTAAATTAGTACATGTATTACGGAAGATATCAATATACATGTACATGTACATGTACATTCGGTGGACAAAAGTTTGACTATGCGTGCATCTATGTACCCCACCCGATTTGGTTATGATAAAAAACAGCCAATAAGAATGCATAAATTTTTGATCAACCCGGCAAAAAAATCGACACAAAAAAATGAAAATGCGAGAAATGTGAAAAATACAAGAAACAAATGTCTAAATCTGGTCCAGAGTACTAATAAAAAATGTCGAGAAGACGATTTTATATATAGCCTGCGTCATCATTCCAACCCTAACCCCAACCCTAATCTTAAACCATTCTTTAACCTTAATCTTTATTACTGTAGAAATTTCCGAAAATACGCAACGCTATTGGTTATTTTTGTTATTACCAAATCGGGTGGGGTGTACATAGATGCATCTGGATGACTTTTGTGCAACACACAAAAGTCAAATTATAACGTCAATAGCTCGTTAGAAAGCTGAAGCCGTAAGCTTTCAAACGACGTAAAAATTATGTTGTTTTTCCGAAAAAGAAACTATGACGACCACGAATATTAATTCTAGAGCCACCCAAAGAGTAATTAATATTGTAAAAGAAAATCGACAACAAGCAATTAACGAAGTTACCGAAAAATGTAATACTGCTTTGGAAGTTTCTAAAACCATACGTCGTAATCTTCATGAAAATGGGTTTTTGGTCGGGTTGGACTAAGAAAATCTTTTATATCTAAGGAAAACGATTAAAATGGTGTCTAGAGAGAAAAGATTGGGTTCGTGAATGGGAATCAGTAATTTGGAGTGATGAATCAAGATATTTAATATTCAGAAATGATTCAAAGCAATGTTATCTCATGAAAAATATGACGTTGATTGTCTTCTTCCTAGTATGAAATCAGGTAATCGGGGAGTAATTGTATGGGGATGTTTACTCAATGCACTTGGATCAATAATCGAAGTTAATGGTACAATAACCGGACAAAAATATGTAGAAATACTTGAACAGCATCGTAATCATCTTTAGATGAATTGCCAGCTAGTTCTGTTCATCCTTTTCAAGATGATAATGTTCCAGTTTACAGAAATAATCCGGTTAATGAATGGAAAGAGAAAAATCTAATAACTTCACTTTCATCTTATTTTGCTTTTTCATTTATATATAAACATAATAAAAAAACTCTTCATAATTATCCAATTTGCTTTTTTAAAGATAGTAACTATAAAAAAAAATTGATTGTATTAAAAATTTCCTGTATATAAGATAAAAGAATGAATGAAAATAATATAATAAATTATTATATCTCAATATCAGGAATTTTTGAAAGATATTATGCAATATTATAAAACATATTTTTTTTAATAAAGAGTTAATTGTTCTTGATAAAATTAGTATTATTTATTAATTAATATATTAAATAACATATTAATTAATACTTTAATAAATATATCATTTAATATTTTTTAATATTGAATAACAAAGATATTGGATAATATAGAATTAGAATTTTTATAACTTACTTCTAAATAGTAAGTAAATATATAAAAAAATATATTTTATATATTTGCTTATTGACTAAAAGCAAATTAAAAAGATCAATTTTAAGAAAAATTTATTAAAATTTACAAATTAATATTAAATTAATCAAATTAGTTTGTTCAAGCCAACTGTTTTTAAATCGGTCTTTTAACCTATTTTTAAATAATAATAAAATATATTCTTTTATATATTTGCTTAGTACTTGAAAGTAAATTAAAAAAGCCAATATTGAGATAATTAGCTCTGAATAAACTAATTTGATCAATAATAAATTAATTAAATTAATTTACTTGGAGTTGTTTATTTTAACAAACTAATATATGAAAGAATATATTTTATATATATTTATTTATTACTTGGAAGCAAGTTAAAAAGATCGATGTTAAGATATAATAATCTTATTACAATATTCTCTCTTTAAAATTTATATTTTGAATGTGATATATAAATAATTATTTTTATTATTTATTATTATATAGTTAAATTATGCTAAACTTAAACAAAATTGAGTATTAGTATACTTTTTAGCCATAAAAAATAGATTATTATCTGTGAAAAATTTTCTTAATTACAATCTTAACTTTGCCAAAATATTCTTTTTTATCTTATATTCTTAGTTTAAGTTTCAATTATGATAATTTGTTAACTATTGATTAGAATTTATTTGAATTGTTATTATTTGTCTCATTATTTAAGAAAAGTCATATGATACTAAAGATATAATAGAAAATTTCAATATAACGTCTATTAATACAAGAATAAACAATTTTTCACAAACCATTCAACATTGTTGTTATTGTTGAATTTTTATTTATAAAAAATAATTATTATATAACATATAATATACCCTTACGTTAGATCCTCTTTCAACATATCCTACTTTATATAACATATCCTACTTCATATAATAACAATAAAAATCACTCAAATTTTCTGGGCCACTTTAGGACATAATATCTCGAAGTTCAGCGACCTGATTTGAGCGAAAATATTACCATTCGATTTGTCTAATCTAGGCAAATCAAATGATATTGGGTCACTGGATGTCGATATATTACATCCTCAAGTGACAGATTCATACGTATTTGTCAATCAATTTTTCATTAGTGTTAGCGTTAGAAATTGATTGCCAAAAATATGAATCAGTCATAATATCTCAACATCCAGTAATCTGATTCAAACAAAATAATACATTCAATTTTCTAGACAATATGAATCGAATGGTATTAGTTTATTCAAATTAGATCACTGGATGTTGAGATATTACGTCCTAAATTGGCCAATTAATTTTTGTTAACGTTAAAAAATGAATTGGTTACTTTAGAGCACAATATTTTGACGTCCAGTGACCTGGTTTGAACAAAAATACCACCATTTGATTCGTCTAGTCAAGACAAATCGAATGGTAGTATTTTTGTTCAAATCGGATCACTGAATATCAAGAATTAGATTATTGGATATTGAGATGTATGCTATGAAATGACTGATTATATTTGGGACATGAAAGTTTATGAACATACAATATCGATATCTGATATAAAACCTCTACCGCTACCAATCTATAAATTACAAGCGATCAGGTGTTGTGTTGCATTTTACGCCCAGAAAATTTGTGTGATCATTATCATCATCGTTATTACATATATTATAGTAAATTTTGGGCAATGCCGAACATTCAGATACTTATGGTTGCTATTGTATATAACTAGTTTGAGTAATGTCTAAAAGATAAGACTTACAGATTTTGAGAATAAAAAATTGCTAGCCTATAAAAAGGCAACAAAAAATAAAAAACATTATATCTAAAAATATAAATATCAAGATTTAATTATTACAAGATCAAGTTCTGCTAGACTGCAATTATTAATTGATTAACAATTAATAAATAAAACAGTCAATGAAATATACTTCTAGTGAATCAATTTTAATAAAAATATTTCTGAAAACTCAGTACTAGGGAAAGCTAATAAAATAAGTTCATTGAATTTGATCATTGTACTTTATAATCATATAAATTTTAATATGAAAAATTCCAATTAAATTTATTGAATA